CTTTAAGACCCCAGATGCTATATCTTTTGATAGCCAGGCACCATCAGCTTTCTTCACCACATTTGCTTATGTACCTGCTTTGTCTTCAGCAGTATCAGGAAGGTGAGCATCATGGAATGCCAGTATTATAGAACAAAGTGTTCTTGCCTTCAGGGAGAAATTGAGTGGAGGCCCAATGTCCATCTGCTACCATACACTAAACCTATAAATATATGCACATATATCTATTTCCCCATCATTGTATATAAATACATTTACATATGTACATGCCTGTATTTAGACCTCTATAAATGCCCTTTGCATCCTAGGTCTTTCCTCTATTTCCTTTTACTTTCCTCTTGTCCCACTATCATGTTCAGCCTTCATTTGGGTTGCAGTAATTCCTCTTGGTTACACTACCCTTGATCAAACCTAACCAGGCCTCTTACAACCTCCTTGCCACTGATTTTGGAACACCTGTTGTTCCTTTGTCCCTGGGTTTGTTAACACCATGTCCTTTGCCCCACTTCCCCTTCTCCCATGTCCCCCCAGAACCTTCTGTCCCATTGTTTTCTCCTCCAGATTGTTTATCCAGCCTATCTTATCTAGATAGACCTACAGAGATAATAACATGCACAAAAACAAGACAGAGCAAAACAAAGCAACAAAAGAAAACAACAACAACAAAACTAATGACAAGAAAAGAAAAAAGAAGAGCTTGTAAATAGTTCAAGGTCTGTTTGTTGGCCTTTAGGAGTGTTTTCCGGTCGAGTCTGATGGGGTGCCACGCCCTGGTCCCAAAGTCTATTTTTGGTATTCCCTTGGGACTTCCTTGCTCTGTTCCCCTTGCTGTTTTTTGCATCCCCTTAGTGTTTTGCCTCAGTGTGGTGGGGTCAGATCAGGCGCAATTCCTGCACTGTGTCTCCAGTATTTTCCCCTGTAGGATTACCAGTGTATTAACTGACTCATGGAAGTGAGTTAAATTGAGCCATTTGTACTGCTCTGTGAACTAATTAGCTGTTTATTTCTTCATGCTTTATCTATCTATCTATCTATCTATCTATCTATCTATCTATCTATCTATCTATCTATCTATCTATCTATCTAAAATCATAAGTGTCCTGGTTTTGTTTCTCTAGAGTACCCTGTCTAACACAGACAGTGTTCGTCTCCCAGGTTCTAGACCACTGGTGGAGTGATTTACTGGAAGGATTCTGTTGCGGAATGCAGCAGTGTCAAAGCCTGGGCCCTGTATCCTGGACCTGGCTTCTCCCTGAGTGGCCATGTCACACCCCTTCCTTCTCCTGTCCCTCTCCCCCATCCCCCAGTGTCCCCTTCCATGGCAGAAAGGGTTCTGACCATGGCCCGAAGATTTGCTCCGTTCTGAAATTCTGAAGTCGGTGATATTATCCAGAGGGGCCAGTGTGACAGACTTCATAATGAGCACATTAGCAGTTCCTTGTACCAAGAACAATGTGTTATGATAATTCATTAACCCGTGAACACTGACTATCCCCAGAGTCCCCAGAGAGCCAGGATACAGGGAGGAGAAGGCTGGCCTGGCCCCTCATACTGAATGGCGACCACCTAGTTGGTGTTCCTGACTGTACCTTTTGCAATCCAACTCTTGGGTGGTGTCGGCAGCAGGGTGGGTTGGGGGGAAGCGCCTGGCCCTAGTGATGATGTGCTTGGAGGGTCCCATTGGGATAAGCACCCGGGTCTGGCTGTCATACCATGAGACTGACCCTCTTATCTATCTGCATCTCCATGATGACTGGTGCCTCTAATATTCCTTACTCTGCTCCCCTCACCCTGGCTGCCCCAGCACTCAGCTCCCGGATGACCTAGGGCTCCACTTGGCCAAGCCCCAGACCTCTTTCAGCTTTGTCTAAGGAGCACCAGAGTCTGCTCCAATCCAGGCTGCAGAAGCAGACTCCTCAGGGTGGAGCCAGGCAAGCATGCTTCCCTACAGCCCCCCAGCTGATTGGGACATAAGGTTCCTCCAGACTGGATGATCTTTCACGCCCGAAATTCCACCGCTCTGTGGTTCACCGAACTGTTCTCAGTAGCCTGGAAACCAAAATCAATTCCAGCCTGCTTCCTCCTACCATTCCACTGTCGACCTTAGGACAGCTGGATCTGCAGGAGGCTTGGGAAGAAGAAACAGTGACCATTTCCTAGGTGGGAACTGAAGTCCGAGGAATCAAGTGCCTTTTGTGAGGCCATGCAGCTTGTAAGTGACATTCCTATCCAGCTTGTCAAACTGCAAAGTGGCCCTTTCCTCCCCATGGCAGGAGCCACACTGGAGGAGGCCTAGTTCCTTCTCTTTTCGGGGCTAGTACAGGACCCTCTTACATACTTGGGAGACGTTATCGGGAGAGACCAGAACCTGCAGACAGAGATCATGGTCCATACAGTAGAGGGTCTGTGAGAGAGACAAAGGCCCTCAATGAGTGGACTGACACAGCGGCTGCAACCAGGGGCTCAAGCAACACAGGAAGCATGGTGAGGATGGTGCAGCTTCTCATGGAGAAGCCAGGTCCAGGATACCGGGCCCAGGCTTTGACTCTGCTGCCCACAGGGCCACAGCGGCAGTTACACAATCTGTTGTCAACTTGAGATGATTAAGAGTGAAGGGGTGGAGTTTAGCCTGTCAATCAGGTTGCAGCTTGATGACCTCATTTGGAGGCGCTAGGGAGATAAGTAGCTCGCTGGAGGCAGGACATATATTTACTCCCTGTGAGACATTCCTGTTGACAAGCCTCATGGAGCTATGCTGATGCAGTCAGAGCCCTGCAGCTGGAGGAGCCACATGGAGACCCACAGCAGTGCCGAGATGCTTCCACCGCCACTGGATCCACAACTTTCCACCCACTGGCCTGTGATCGTCCTACATTTGGCATCATTGCATGTGTTGTGTGAGTCTGAAGAGGAATTTACAGACTGGTACTGGGCATATGGGCTAATATTGGACTTATGGACTTGATCTGGACTGGGCTGGGATGTTTTCTTAATGTACAATTACTCTTTATATAAAGCTCTTTCCTGTACACATACGAGTATCTCCCTGGATTTGTTTCTCTAGTCTGCCTGGACTAACACAGTCACCATGAGTTTAAACTGTCTCAATGGCATCCAACAATGACAGATAAGGCTCCACTTTGTCAGCTGATGGCATATGGGCACACAGCATCATCAGACTTGCCTCCACCCTGGAGGGACATTCTTGGTGAGTCCCAGGGGACACAAACCCAGCTGTAAGAACTTTGAGACCTTCAAAGAATCAGACCCCAGCTCTTTAACCTTTTCTTCTAGGTCCATGGTGATCTGGGCCCCAATCGCCTCCCTTACCTCTATTCCCTCT